TTCATAAAACCCTCATCGCTTGATATTGCAACCACTTGTTTCTGTAATTTTCACTTTGTAGCAAATAGTTTCTATGAAAAAGTTTTTTTTCAATTCAAAATTTTATATGAAATGTCAGCAATGAAATACGGCTTTCGGGCGAAAAATCAATTSGAGAAAAAAACTCTATTATTCTAAATAAGAATTGTTGACAAAAACAAAACTCAATAAAAAAAAAATATATAGAAAAAGAATAAACCTACGAAACAACACAATACAAATATATAAGAATAATAAAATAAAAAAATTGAATAAAACGCGGGGAGAAACATGAATAAAATTCTGCCTTGGGAACATTTCGAAAGTTTGTACAAAGTATAGTATCCGTTTCATATTGCAAATCTTTGTTGCTCACCTTTAAAACATAACACAAACTACTTCACCAGTAATATTTTATTAATGCTTATTMTTTCACAGGAATTGATCGGCCAGAATAGCAACGATAGTTCTAGTGGCGGCGGGCACAGCGGCATGGGTTCGGGGCCACCGGGCACACCCAATTCACAGCAGGTAATGCGTCCCACACCTTCACCAACAGGCTCTTCAGGTTCGCGTTCAATGTCACCAGCAGTGGGTAAGTGKAAAACGGAAGACATAGAAAAATCTCAAATAGTCATATKTACATGTCAACGTTACTAATGAAAACTTTTCTCTTCTTATTGTGTAGCACAAAATCATCCAATTTCACGACCTTCTAGTAATCAATCAAGTAGTGGTCCTATGCAACAGCCTGGCGCTTCTGGACCTCCACCACCCCCGCCCCATATGCAAGCGGCGCAAGGTGGCGGTGGTCCACAGCAACAACAACAGCAGCAGCAAATGTCTGCACAATCGCAATCTCAGCAACAGCCTATCGGGGGACCTGGTGGTGTGCACAGCTCACCATCTGGTGTTGGTGGCTCGCAACAACAAGTTGGTGGTCTACCGCCAGGTGGTCCTGGAGCTCCTACAGGTCCACAACAACAACAACTTCCGCCAAATCAAAGCTTGAACAGTATGTCAACACCACCTCCACAAGGGGCMAGTGGTGGTGCGGGMGGTTATCCACCACCACCACATATGCATGGTGTCTATAAAATGGGTGGTCCAGGACAGAGTCCGGGACCAGGACCGCAAGGTTTACCGACTGGCTACCCGCCTCCACAACAGTCCCAACAATATTCTCAAGGTAAGCAATAAAAAAGTTTTGGAATATATATTATTGATTATAGATTTCATTTGATTACGAAAACTTATTAATATTGTTTATCGCCTCTCTAACCACTTTAACRATAGGATCTTACCCGCCTCGTCCGCAATACACACCCAGCGGTTACGCGCCCTCTCAACCGCCTTCAAATCAACCAACCTCCGCCAATAGTATGCCTCCCGGTGGCGGTCCTCAATATCCAGGTCGGCCAATGCCAAATCATACTGGTTCCGGTGGTCCACATGCGCAGTATCCACCCTATCAGAATTGGGTKCCACCATCACCACAAGGTGGTCCCGGAGGAGGCGGCTCACCAGGCGGTGCCGGTGCTGCCGGTATGGGCAATCATATACAAGGCAAAGGAACACCTCCACCCGGCGGTCCCCCACAGCCACCCGGAGGCGGCTCACCGCGCCCACTTAACTATTTGAAACAGCATTTACAACATAAGGGCGGCTATGGCAGCGGTCCAGCGCCGCAGCAGGGCTATGGTAATGGGCCGGGCATGCATCCGGGTATGCCAATGGGACCACCTCACCACATGGGACCGCCACACGGACCTACAAATATGGGCCCACCAACAAGTACGCCGCCACAATCGATGGGTGGAGTTGGTCCTATTGGTAGTATGGTGGGTGTGAGCGGTAATATTGGTAGCGGAGTAGTGTTGTCCGGTGACGGCGAACACATTTCACAGGATAACGGCATTAGTTCGTCGGGTTCATCTACAGCATCGGGACCCCATCCGGTCACATCAGTGGTGACAACTGGGCCAGATGGCACTCCCATAGACGAAGTTAGCCAACAAAGTACGCTATCAAATGCTTCAGCAGGTGAGCGAAGTCACAGGAGAAAGTGCATGAATTCAATATAATCAAAATAACTATTTCAAATAATTGTAATTGTTAATCAAATGATTATTGCAATTTACAGCTTCTGGTGAAGATCCACAATGCACAACACCAAAATCTCGTAAAAACGATCCATATAGCCAAAGCCATTTAGCGCCACCAAGCACATCGCCGGTTGGCCATCCCGGACATCCAGTTGGGCCCAGTGAAGAATATGAAATGAATTCACCCCCGAATTGGACGCGACCACCAGTAAGTCCTGTAAGTTGCTGCCTACTTTAAGAATCAAACAATTTCTAACGGTATTTCGTATTAATTATTTACAGCAAGTTTTCAATAGCCATGGACCGCCACAAGAGACTTTTCGTACATCGTCTACGAAAAAATCCGATAGCCTATGCAAACTATACGAAATGGATGATAATCCGGAGAGACGAAGTTGGCTTGATAAGCTGCGTGCGTTCATGGAAGAGCGACGCACACCCATCACCGCCTGTCCAACAATATCGAAACAACCGCTCGATTTATATAGGTTATATATTTATGTAAAAGAACGTGGAGGATTCGTCGAGGTATGCAAGGTGCCGTAGTAATTCCTTTTACTAACTTCTTTTTAGATTCACTACCATTACTACCTTCTAGTAGTACTACCAAATAGCAAAACTACCCACCACCACTAGTACCACTATTACTGTTTTGTACAACAACCCACAAAATTAGCATCTGTTAAATACTCTAAACTATTACTAAAAACGAAAATAATGCATTGTGGCAAATAATCACCAACACTTAGCTCTTTGCGAACTATTAGCATATAATGATCATATCCCAGCAATCATTGCCATCAACWTCAACAGTCCCCCCATTGCATTAGTCAAGTGTATTGTCATTGTAATACTTAAAAAAAAACACATTCCTCCATATGGACTATTAGACTAAAAAATGTCAGCCCATACATTACAAGATTTAGAATATTACATACAACCTCAAATATAAAGAATAATGAACAGAGGCCTGGGCTTAAGGTGTACATATTATCTTTCTCTTTTTTTATATACTTTTGGATACGCATGATTTTAAGCCTAAACTTAAAAAATTCTTGTTCCAAATTTTAGTCTTTGCTTAACAGCCTAGAGAGTGCATGCAGACTATCTAGCTTTCTTTTCTTTTTGCTAAATTATATGTCGATGTGTGTAAGTAAATGTTTTGCAGAATTTTTGATACACATACTTCTTCATTTGCTTCTTTTATTTACAATTTATGAATCTTCATCTAATTAGTATTTAAAACGTTCGGTTTATATGATAGTAAATATTTTATCAATTTTATGTTTCTACTTTTCATATTGCTTTAATATATATTTTTTTTAGAACCACATTGCTTTTCAGTGAAGTGTCATAACACGTAAAAAAATTCACACTATGCATCTCTCAAATCAACATTATAAGCCATCCACAAATCCCTTTTCCTTCCTACTTAGTGTTGTAAAAAACTGATTAGTGTTGATTGATTTCCTTTCCCATGGTATGTAAGTTCTAGATGTGTATAAGAGATTAGTGTTGATTGATTTCCTTTCCCATGGTATGTAAGTAGCAGTGATATTATTTTATGCATTCCATTAAAATTTCTGAATCTCCGTGTAGCTTTCTCCATATATTTTATTATTTTCTACTCTTATGTATTTTCCAATATACCTTTTTTCGAACTATCTTACTAAAAACATATATTTTAAGTTATAATGATTATAGAAAATATATTTTAAAAAGAGAAGCAACTGTTTGTGTCAATGATCTATCATTGCTTGCTTGCAATTCTTTTTTTAAATCAATTTTAAATTTACGTTTGTTATATAATATTATATATTTCATATAGGTTATATTTTCAATTATACTAACTATATATTTCTCCTTTGTTCTATAAACAAAAACTTCAACTTGCTATGTTACGTTTCGGCAAATACTAAAACAAATAACACAAAAGGTTACGAAAAGTAAAACATGGAAAGATATTGCCGGTTTATTGGGCATAGGTGCCAGCAGTAGTGCTGCTTACACCCTCCGCAAACACTACACAAARAATTTGTTGACCTTCGAGTGTCACTTCGATCGAGGCGACATAGACCCGTTACCCATTATTCAGCAAGTGGAAGCCGGTACAAAAAAGAAATCGACCAAAGCCGCTTCTGTACCATCGCCAGGTAAGAGAGTGAACATTTTAGRATACTTATGTAAACTGAAGAGTAGGATATAATTTATTAAAGCAAAATATTTATGAACAAATAGAAATATAAGAAATTTAGAAATAGTTTTCAATTTCATTAATTTTACCGTTGTGCATTGTTTTAATTATAAATTTATCAATATTTTTCTTTAAAAAAAAACACAAATGAAAAAATTGGCGGTGCAATTGCGCTTGAAAATACAAATACATCAACAATGTCAGCAGGTTCCTCAAATTCCCAAGATTCATTCCCTGCACCGGGCGCTGCCGCCAATGCAACGATTGATGGTTATCCAGGTTATCCGAGTGGTTATCCCGTCACAGCAGGGCCACAGCCAGACTATGGTGCGGGTGGTGGTCAAATGCAACGACCACCCTCACAAAGCAACGCACAAACCCCACATGCAGGTAAATACAAACAAACAATTTAATTTTTCGTGAATATTTAAGACCGTAAACAGCAAATACGCAGTAAATTTTTGCACCACAGTTTTTTATACAAGTATCAGTTATAACTACCACGTCATAAACAATAACAAAAAAAAATTGTAACTAACTTTTCATTTTCCAACAAAAAGTACAATCAACACGGGTCAAACTTAAATCGATTTCAATTAGCTATTTAAGACAACAAGCGCAAGCAATCCTTTAGTTCATGTTAAGCGTTTATAATTTATTTCTTTTATATATTTTGTGGCAAAACTAAAAACCAAAGTTGACCGATTTTTTCTTTAATTTTTTATTCTTATTTTGCAAATCTCTAAAAACTTTCCTACTCATCACCAATCACCAATCATCAAAATCATCGTCACATCACCAAACCCACCATCACAATGAACAACATCTTTTTTTCTTTGAATACCATCCACATAAACACCTGCAACAACGAAAAAACAATAACCAAACCAAAATCATTGAATCATCACAACAATTCATCTCCATCACGCATCCATAGGTAATACTCAAACAGCAGCAGTTGGTGATAATATTAGTGTGAGCAATCCTTTTGACGATCCGGTTGTGGGTGGCGGTGGTAGTGGCAATAGTAGCGTCAGCAATGCGCCACCGCCGCCCCGTGCCTCCCCTTATCAACAGGGCGTTGGCAATGCTTACACGCCGGTGTCTAGAACGCCAGGTATTAATTTTTTCGATTATTTTTTCATTTTCTTGTGTAGTTTTCTAAAATTAGTTGCTTTTTGTTTTGCATTGTCCTTCTGTTGGAAAATAATTTTGATTATATTATACAACACATTACAATATACACTCTCTACGAATTACTTTCATAATTTTGTATATAACTATTTTTTGTGTTTTTCCTTCAACTTCATATCATTCTTGTTGGTCTCTTCAAAAAATATTATTTTATTTTCTTCTTATATTATATATCTCTGTTATAATATTAACCATTTATTATAATTGATACATGCATACCTAATGGCTTTTAGAAATGTTTCAAGAGTCGATATACACGTATATATATGTATATGCATATAACAACCACCACAAAACGTTTAGATTACTTTATTATTAGAAATATCACAAATGAAAGAGAGAAAAACTGATTTCAAAAATTAAATTGTTAAAAAGGATTTTTCCATAAATAGTTTCAATATTGCATGTCTCCCCCTCAAAAAAAAAAAAGAATTAATAAAGGAAGAAAAGACATTAACATCGGTATCAACGAAGCTTTAATATTTTCCTGGGTTTTGATCAGTTTTCATGGCAGCAATTTGAAATGGTGATTCGATATCGGCGGTTCCGAAAAATGTACAGAAAAGGACTTCAAATCGATATCTCAAAATTTATTGGACTAGTTGGTATATTCAGACAGACAGACGGACATGGCTAAATCGACTCAGCTCATCACGCTAATCATTTATTTACTATATATACCTTATAGGGATTCGGACGTTTCTTTCTGGCTTTAACAAATTTCGTGTCAAACTTAATATGTATTAYATCATGTTCAGGGTATAAATATATATATGCTATACATAACAAGTATATATATATATATATGTGTGTGTTCACTATAGATATTGAAGCAAATCCACAACTCTCATATTTTTTTATATTAAATTACAACTAACTCTCATTAATATTCCATTAAAACTAAATAACATACTGCAACGTATAAATCGGACTAATAATTTATTAATTAGATTAATACAACTAGAGTAAACAAACCATATGCATTTATAAGTGTTCCTTAGACGGATTATTTATCACTCTATGTTTTCATATATTCTTTAATTGCACTTACATTTTCTCTTAAGCCATGTCCTATATTATATTATTATATACATATAATTGAAAATTTGTACTATGTCCAAAAATCTCCAGTGTATACCGCTTATTTACTTTTATTACAAATAATTTCCTTATTTTTCATCTTATTCACAGGTTCCCCATATCCGGGTCAACCGGGTGCTTACGGTCAATATGGTTCAAGTGATCAATACAATGCCACTGGTCCACCGGGCCAGTTTGGTCAGAGCCAAGGACCACAATTTCCACCACAAAATCGGAACATGTACCCTCCTTATGGACCAGAGGGGGAAGCGTGAGTGCTATTTTCTCTACTTCTCCATACATTGATACCTAGTAGCCCATATCTTGTTAACTACATAACAGATCAGTTATTACAAAAGTATTGTTTTCTGACACATTATCCAGCATACCAAAACTGGCTAATTAATTATTAGAATTTAACTGATTGTTCCGTATTATATGTATTGATATCGTTTCCCACTTTCTACGATTTAGTCCTCCACCTGGTGCAAATCAATATGGCCCTTATGGTAATCGTTCGTATAGCCAACCGCCACCGGGTAGCTCTCAAACACCTACACCACCTGGTTCGGCGGTAGGTGGAACTGCTGGTCCACCGACTAGTGGTCCGCAAGCGCCAGGCGGCGGTTATCCACCAGTTGCTCCAACTCAACAGGATTATTATAGGCCGCCCGATCAGGTGCGTTACGAAGTTTTTCTTGATATCAAAACGTTTTTTTATTTATTTTACATTTACTTTATTTTCACTTTAGACGCCGCAACCACGACGACATCCGGATTTTGTGAAAGATTCACAACCCTATCCAGGTTATAACACCAGACCTCAATTATACGGTAAGTATACATTTCTACTGAGCTGTCAATACGCTTATTATAAATCGTAACTGATTTTATTTATATATTATAATAAATAGGGGGTTGGAGCGGTTCAACTCAATACCGTGGGCAATATCCTTCTGCACCCTCGCCACAAGGTTGGGGTAGTGCACCACCACGCACAGCCGCACCGCCGGGTGGCGGTCCACTAGGGCCTCCAAATCAACAGTCATCGGCCGCCGTGCAATGGGAGCAGCATCGTTATGTCCCCCAACAGCCTCCACCTCCCCCACAACAGCAGCCCCCATACCAACAACAAGGTCAGCAGCAACAGCCGCCGCCACCACAGTGGGCACAAATGGCAGGCACTGCACAGCCACCACCCCAAGCGAGCGCACCTGGCACAGTTTTGCGGCCATCTAGCGGAGGTCCACAGCAGCCACCTCAACAACGGCCCGGTATGCCACCACCACCCGCCCAGCAACTGCCTGTTGGCCCGACGTCCAGTCAAAACATGACAAAGCCACCTTTTGTGATGCCAGCGCCACCTCAAGTTGGAGGCACAGGCTCTCCTACTTGCGGTCCACCACCATCCATAGCACCACCCAGCACAGTTAATGCGATGCCATCAGTTATGGGTGCGCCTGTTGCTAGTGTATCCAAGCCACAGGTGTCCGCCGTAAACGCGGTATCACAAGTCGGCTCTCCCGGCCTACCACAATTACCAGCACAACAGCAGCCCCTACAAGTTCAGCCACAGCAACAGTTTCCAACTCCTGCCGGCACCCAAATCATTAAAAAGGAGATAATTTTTCCGACGGATAGCGTTGAAGCCACCACACCCGTGTTGTATAGACGCAAACGTTTGACTAAAACCGATGTTTGTCCGGTGGATCCATGGCGAATATTTATGGCAATGCGCTCCGGTCTATTAACTGAGTGCACCTGGGCGTTGGATGTATTAAATGTGTTGCTCTTCGATGACACAACGGTACAGTACTTTGGGCTGGCGCACTTGCCTGGCCTGTTAACTCTCCTKTTGGAGCACTTCCAAAAGAATCTCGCAGAGATGTTCAACGATAGCGACACGGACGTTGATCATCATAGGGGCGGAAGTCGAAATGCACGTGTAGTACAAATCTACAACCGCAAACAAAAACAACAACAACATGGCGTCAACGAAGCCGTCGAGTGTAACAACGAATACGACAAATACAAGTCGTTTCAAATGCCAATAGTCGATGATGACGATGAAGATGAGGGCATTGATTTAGGTCAGATACGTGTGCTACCGAATCCTGAAGAGAGAATAATGTTGCTTTCGCACACACCCAACTACACAATGATGTCGCGTAAGGGCTTGCCAGTACGTCTACAACCGTCGGAAGATGATATTTTCGTATCGAACAGACAGAAGGACTGGGACTCTGAGGAGGAACCCATCTATGAGCAGACAAATGTGACTGAACCCACTGGTTGGAGTTGGACGTATGGTTTTGCGGATCGCAATACCAAAGATGGCATTATCGACGTGTTCAAGTCGGAAATTATAAACATTCCATTCGCACGTTTCATACGTGGCAGCAACGAAAAAAGCTGTAGTAGCAGTAAAGGTGCGACCAAGTCGTCAATGAAAACTAATGCAGAAGATGCGAATAATGCTGGAACCTGCGAAGCAAGCAGTAAAATTGTGAAAAACGAGCAAATGGAAGATGGAAGTTGTGCGGAGGATAGTAGAGTGGAGCATGCGTTTAACAAAAAGCGACGATTATTCAACAACAGCAACAGTAATAACAGCAGCAAACACGGTGGCTGCGATGGTAGCGGTGCAAAGAGATCTAAATTGAATGAGGATGAAATTGCATTTGCGCAGCCTGGTCTCATYAAAAAGGAACCCACAGAYGCTGCTCTCGTAGAGAATTCATCAACAGCAACTGATAGCGACTGCCGCGAGGTCGATATGGAAATTGAGTTACTGCCCCAACAACGACTAGGTCATTGCGGCGGTGTTAGCGTGCCGAAAAACTTTGATCCAATATCGACAGTGCGAGATGCAGCACAGGTGTTGCAGCGACGGCGTGCATCCACAGTAGAAGAAGAGTGCTATACACGTGACGAAGCCAGTCTTTACCTGGTTAGTGAGTGTCAAGATGCGCTGGCGCGTCGCTGTATCTGTCTGTCAAACATTTTCCGCAACCTGACATTTGTGCCCGGCAACGAAACTCTCTTAGCTAAATCGCGCCGCTTCCTCGCTATCCTTGGTCGCTTGCTGCTGCTCAACCACGAACACTTACAGCGAACGCCAAAGACGCGTAATTATGATCGCGAGGAGGACACTGATTTTTCAGACTCGTGCAGTTCACTACAGGGAGAACGCGAATGGTGGTGGGATTATCTAGTTCACATACGCGAAAATATGCTCGTCGCGTTGGCGAATATAGCCGGCCATTTAGAATTGTCACGCTACGATGAGCTTATCGCACGGCCACTGATCGACGGTCTCCTGCATTGGGCTGTGTGTCCAAGTGCGCATGGTCAAGATCCATTCCCATCTTGTGGTCCAAATTCTGCGCTTTCGCCGCAACGGCTAGCGCTCGAAGCACTCTGTAAACTTTGCGTTACAGATGCCAATGTCGATCTCGTTATAGCGACACCACCGCATTCAAGGCTGGAAAAGTTATGCGCCGTGTTGACACGTCACCTGTGTCGTAATGAAGATCAAGTATTGCGGGAGTTTTCCGTTAATCTGCTGCATTATTTAGCCGCTGCGGATAGTGCCATGGCACGAACAGTGGCGTTACAATCTCCTTGTATCTCATATCTTGTGGCATTCATCGAACAAGCAGAGCAAACAGCTTTAGGCGTGGCCAACCAGCACGGAATCAACTATCTGCGCGAAAATCCCGACTCGATGGGAACTAGTTTGGACATGCTACGACGTGCTGCCGGCACGTTACTACATCTGGCCAAACATCCGGACAACCGATCGCTATTCATGCACCAAGAACAACGTCTGCTCGGTTTGGTGATGTCAAATATACTCGACCAACAGGTAGCACTGATTATATCCCGTGTATTATTTCAAGTGTCGCGTGGCACTGGTGTAGGGGGACCGTCGATGATGCCGTCACTGGAATATCGCTTCCAACAACGGCAAACTGAGGAGAAAATCACCGTAAGCGAAAAGCACAACGCTTCCGGTAGTAATGGCAGCAATGATGTAARAGTGGAAAATAAAGTGGAAACAACATCGACTGCCGCTTCAGTACCAACAAATCCGCCACAATCCGTGGCAAATACGGCAACAGCACACTCCACACCTCATGTAGTAATAAGCGATGTTAAAAGTGAAGAACTACCAGCAACTGCCAACGACTTGAACGATGCCAGCACCATCAACGCAAATGGCAACAACAGCACCAGCAGTGCGAGCAACCACAACACCAGCGACAATAGTAATGATCCAGCATTCACGCACAAGTTGCCAGCAGCAGCATCTACGCCTACAGTGATGAGCAAGTCTCAAAACGCTTGTGCCACTGTCGATGATAATAGTAACAGCAGTAACGCTCTGGCGCCCGCAGCGGCTTTGTTGAACGATGTCAGCAATAGCAGTACCAACAGCAACAGCTGCGGCACGGTAAGCAGTAAYAGCAATAGTAACAGTATAAGCAGCGGCAACAACAACACCAACAGCAATATGCACATAAAAAATGCGATTGAGAACGCCAACGTGAATGCACTAGGAGCGATGACTCCTATGCTGGCCAGCAGTGAAGCGAGTCATTTGCAGCCGAATCTGCTGAGCAGTAACGGCAGTGGTAAGAATGTGATCAGCGCACCTATTCCCACTATTAATGCAGCACCATTGACCAATACCAGCAACAACAATGGCAATGGGACGGAGAGTCGAACCAATGCGCAGCCATCTGCAGCGTTAACGGGTGCGCCGACGCGATCCCCACCTCCGCCACCACCACCAACGGCAAACGCAGCAGCAGCCGCGGCACCATCCGCACCCACAGCTCCACCAGCAACTACAACAGCAGCAGTTGCGTAGTACATGACGATGTTGCCGACGTTAGCAGCTGTGCCGGCAGTGTTAGTGCAACAGCAGCAGACGCAACAAGAACACGTCCATATACATGAACAACAGCATCTTGGTATGGATCATCACCATCTACACCACCAGCAGCAACATCACTATGCCCAACTGGATGGGCGCTACCAACAGCAAACGGCGCCGCCACTACCACCACCACAAACATCTCCGCAGCCACACTATCATCTGCCGCCATACCACTATCACTGGAGCAAGCAGCAATCACCGTTGCAGCCACCAACAGCACATCCTCAACCTCATCAGCCGGAAGATGCACACTAGATGTCACTGTAAACGTGAATCGTAATTTATTACAACAGAGCAACGTAGCATTCGTAGCGAAGTAGAAAATAAGGGTATAATGGTTATAACGTATATGAACAAAGTCATGCTATAGTTCAATGCAAAATGCGGAGATGGCTTAGATGTCACAGCGACGTTTAAGTAAAAAAAAAAAACAACATTTACAACTTCTCTCCGCCTACAGATGTATATGTCTAGAGGAAATAGCAAATAAATTAAATATATACATATATATGATAACGGTGATCAACTTTGTAGATATAGTAACGTGAGTAGTATTTAGTTTGTGTAAAGAAAAGTATGTCTCACTTTTTGTATTTTTATTATTATTAATATTATTTTTGTAATATTTTAAGATACTTCTAATTTCATACCTATGCTGGGATATAGAGTTAATAGAAAGAAATGTCATACAAACATTAGACAAAAACATAAACAAATATGCATTACTAACACATGACATAAAGCGACTTAAAGCAAACTCTATGCTAATGCTAAAAGGAAGCGGAAACTGGATTCAAGAGAACCAGACGTTATAACATAATGTATACAGAACCCTTGAGATCGAATAAAATTGTAAAGGCGTTCTTGTTGGAACGCATCCAAAGCCCAACTGTAGCGGTCCTGCATATCAAAAGCGCCGCGCTTTCGTTATAAAATATTTGCAAAATTTTTAATACATATTCGAAGTTGGTTTAATGTTCGAATTATCAATTAATAGCAGCATTAATTTCGCTGARGTTGCCACACATATGTAAATAGCTCAAAATTATTGCTCTGACTCAAATCTAGTATTAAAAATCTATAATAATTGCATATTTTCGATAGGTTTCCTTTTTTCGTTTTTTTTCTGTTCATTTTAATCGTTTCTCGTTTTGAAGTGGTAAAACTGCAATTTGTATTTCGAATCATACATGTGATTGGGCGAAAAATACCTTCATATGCTATCTAGCACTGCGCACTTCCCCACAATAAAATTTTCAAATCTAAGACGCGGCATTAAGATAAAACTGCTCTAGCTAGGGAAGGAAACTAATTATATAACACAATATTTCCATTATTTATCTACAAAAATCTAAAAGTAACGGTATTAACGGTGTGCACAGAACGCTACTAGCGTTTCGTATGTCAATGAAAATAAGAAATTTAACATTGTTTTTTTTTTTTGTTTTTAATTTTTTTTATTTTGACATTGAAACTTGACATAACTTTTTACGGAATTTGTTTTTAATTTTTTTTTCTATTATTTAATTCTTTATTTTTTTTTTATTTTTTGCACGTCTTGTTTTTGTTGTAAAATGTTTGTTATTGTATACTATAAAGTAGATTAATTTATTATTTTAAATTGGCTACTTGGCGTACACGATTTTCTCTTAAACCTGTAAATATGGTTTCTAAAAATGGTTCACATCTTAATTTCGCTTACAAAYTGTCGCCCAGTCACAATCCCAACATATGAACAAGCGCACATGCCCCAACGAAATATCTTGTATGTTACAGAGAGCAAATTAAAGATTATACAAAATGTATTTCCTCGATATTGACAACCAATGCAATTTAGAAAATTAATTTCTTTCATATTTATTGATGCTATTTTAAATATATGATTCGTGTATAAATAGTGTGCATATACATATATATATATACATATATATGCAAGTATTTTTTTTTTTTTTTGCATATTAACGAGCATATGGAACTCCACACAAAATGTGTATGTAACAAAATAAAAAATAAATCTACAAAAACAATGAAAAAGAAATGCAAATGTAAAACTGTGCTTAATATGCAACATAAATGATAGGAAAAATATTAAGTTAATTTCTATAGCTATGTCTAGCTTTTAACTTATTAAATTATATAATATTGTAAAACTACTAAAAAAAATTCAACGCATAATGAGAGTAAAGGATGAAAATAAAAAAAAAACACTGCAATTTCAGCATTAAAAAAATATATCCATATACATATATAAAAAATTCTTAAAAATTAACCATAAACTAATTAATGTTAGATATGTATACAAGTAAATATATATAATTGTATATGTAGTAACGTACGTAGCTGTAAATCAATATTGCTTACAACTGATATAAATAAAACTAATATTAAATATTAATTTGATTAAACAAAACTGAAATGAAATCGGAAAMGGAAGCGTGATAGACGGTGTATAGTGTGTGGTCTAGTGCAATCAGCTTGCAAAATAAAAAATATATATATACATAAATGTGAAAATGGTAGATTGACAATTGCGGACGTGCGCTATTTGATTATATCGACACAAACTTACCASAACTTTCATTATTAGGCTTAGTATAAGCGCAATTCGTTGGAGACTTACATGTTGAATGAAAAGTGACGGTTATTTGAGGGCTTTAGCTGTTTCGTCGTTGCGTTAATGCGTCAAGTTGCTACAAACTCAGCAGCATAAATACGTTAAGGCAGGATTTAAACAAATTAAACGGCTAGCGTTAACGTTGAATTTAAGTGGGTAGATTGTTGTTGTAAATGATAACTGTCGGTGGCTTAGTTTATAATATTAAGATACATATGTACATACCATACATACAAACAAACATAGKAAGTAACAATACAAGCAAAAGAACTGTTTGATTGACTATATGAACAAGTAAAATATGAACGCATAATATGTAAGCGTCTAAGAAGCAGCAGCTAAGCAACATAAACCTATAAGTTACCGAAGTACGCGCTTAAGAAAAATAAACGAAAACAAAAAACAAAATATGATGTTACATAAAAACTGCAAATGAGAAAATAAATTAACTATGATATCAAGTAACTTATTAGTATTAATAATAAAATACAATAAAAGCATGAATGTGTTAGAATTAGCGAAAAGACTGCTGACTGCATACAGATGTTGTTGTGTCAGTAGTTCATTGTGTTAGTAATACCTATGTGGATATATACAGACAAACAAACAAACAAGTAAGAAACATGTGATTCATGTAAAAAAGAACTACAACAACAAAGGAAACAAATTATACTAATTCAACTTAATTTACTGGAACTAGAATTTGCTTACGAATGGACGCATGAGCTGACATATTTGTTGTTTAATGCACAAATGCGTGTTATATATATATATAAAAATATATATATCTATATATATATAGTGCATATAAACTTACATTAATACAAAATAATAATAACTTCAACCTAATATAAAATTATAATTTAAAATAAAAGCTGTAAATGTAATGATTTATTGTCAATTTTTTTTTTTAATAATTTATATTTTAAGTTATAATTTGTAAATGTTTAGCAGTAACATATTAACTTACATACATAAACTACATGTATTCAATTGTAATACACAATAAAATTAAATGATTAAATGCAAAATACAAAAAAAAAAAAAATCACGAATATATACAATTAAAAGTACGTTTGATTAGTTATTGAGAAAATGGCGTGTAAAATCTTAACACAATAAACTACATACTTATGTGTAAAAAAAACTAATTTTCTTACACTCAAGCGCTACAGGCATACATACCCAAATAGCCACCAAAAAAGACAACTCCCGCTATACGATACAAATGTATGTKCACCAATATAAAATTAAAACTCGAATACATTAAAATATGTACATAAATCCATATTAGTGTGTGTGTGTTGTAAATATTTGTTTTTGTATGTACAGATGGATTTATGATAGCGCGCTTCAGCCGCTGGCTGTCATTCGTTTACGGAACAAACAACGAATGAAGTCTGATCCGTTTGCTGCACGAAGAGTTAGAAGTCTATACTCGTGATTGAAACTGATCCATATTTGTATTGTTTATTGATAATTTGAAAGTAATTTTTTCTAATTAGATTTATGATTTTTGCGTTGCTTCCTTGGCGGACAATAACAACGGTTTTTGTTCGCTCGTTGAATGCAATAAATTGTTGGGGTAAAAGCTCTTCTTTCCTACAATCGTAAATATTTTTAGAATATTAAATAAATTCATTTGAAGCTTTTCTGAACAGTAAATGAGGATGTCACTGAAATATCTGCTGCTCTCTGTGCTGCACTATATTTTTTAAAAAAATATATTTTTTTTTAATTGGGATGATAATGAGAGAAAGGGAGACGTATGAAATGGATTCGTCATAATTGCGTAATATATTTTTTCATCCGGAACATTTCTGTATGGGCGTTTGGTACTCTGAATGGTAAGCAAAATTTTATTATATTTTTATTATTGACATGTGTAACAAAGTACATAAACACAATTAAAAAAAACCGATTTTGTTGTTTATTATTTAAAAAATAACATATGTTTTAGGTTTGTTAATACTTAAAGTATTTATTGAATTGAATTAAATAATTATTTATTATTTTATTTTACATTGAGTTTTGATGCTAACCGCGATRACCGACTCGCAGAAACACTACCTAAAAAGGAGTAGCATGGATGTGGTAATCTATTATAAGTCGTTTTTAATAATTAAAGAGATCAGCTGTAAAAATGTAAAATATTAAAAACGCTTRCATATAGTAATTATAAAATAAATTGAGTGTTAAAATGTTTGTATGTGCATTTTAAGAATATGTAATATAATAAATATATAAAAAAATAAGCTCTTATACATACACAGATGTACACAATATATTTTTTATTAAAACACCTATTGAATTTAATTTATAATTGCTGCAACTTGGACGAAGTGCATAGATATTTATAACTTCTTCGAATTGTTAATTGATGACTATAAAGATTGTGACGAGCATAATAAGATGCTTATGTATGTAGTTGCATAGAAATTGATAAAATGATATTATTGCATTTATATATTCGAATACGTTTATGAATATACATATGTAAATACATACAAGCRTACATGCAAAAATATATGTACTTACGAATTACCTAAACAAATATAGGCATTTGCTGTGGATGTGCCTCCTGACAAGCCACAACCAAAAGTATACAAAGCAAATTAAAAGTTAAATTGCGCATACGATGAGAAGAATATTTATAGCACTATACACAAAAATATAAAAACTAAAAAAAAAAATATTCATACACATACACATATGAGTAAGAACCAATAATTACTTTTAGTTATTTCAATATAATTGATTGATGTATTTTGCATAAATAGAATATTGTTAGTTTGTAAATCTATATGAAAAATAAATAAATTTTAAATTAGAGTATATGAAATAAGAAATATGAATTGGCAAATATCCAATACATTAGAAAGACATATTCAACACTTGCTTGGAGAAGTACCTCCAATGAGCTTGATCTGAAAAGCAGTGCACTGGTCGTTACGGACAAATACATATTTTCAAGTGGTATGTAATTTAATGCAGATATAAAATAAAATAAATTACACATTAAAAGCAGATTAAAGCCGAAGGAAATTTTACTAAATAAGATTGTGACGATTGTATTTAGATGTAGTGGTTAGTGTTTTTAGTATTGTAAATGAATGTCACAGAAAAAAAAACACATAACAAAAGAAAATTTAACGAAAATTATGCTAATACATAATAATATTAAATTAAATAATTCACAAATCTTAATATATTCAAAATATATAAACAAAGCATAATTAACCAAAATATGCATTGATTGCTAAAAAACGAAACGCAGAAAGTATAATATTAATACAAATATTGTTAATAAAATTTGAGCATTCAAATACGAAGAACATAAACAAAAATTTGAATGGTCTTAAAACTAAAATATAAAAAAAAACTATTATGTATACTAAGAATTAACGATTATTAAAAGATGCTGGCATACTAATAAGTGCAGGTTATACATACATACTTAATTAAATTAATGAAAAGTAAAATTGAAAATACTTAATAAACTTAATTATAAAATTACGAGAAAACATAATATTACAAATTAAATGTGTTATCATTTATTAAACACTAGAAAGAGGTGAGAGTAATCATATAATGAAACTTAAGCAGTATAAGCAACACCATATTTAAGGAATATGTATATAMTTTTAAATCCAGCTACACCTTTCTTAGATACTTGGTGGAGTGATATTTTCCGGGAGATCAGTTGCTTCGTCGTTTATAACATATTTCGGTGTTTTTATGACAGAGAGACCCTTTGATATTCGCCGTGGTGTGCCGAAAGCAACCGCTGTTCTAATTATATATACCATTCCTTTGACAGTCGGGTCTACGTAAAGAGAAAGGACACGGAGTCTCAACTCGGCAGAATTCTGCCGCTACAGCAACTATTGAATATAAGTCATATTGCACAAAGGAAAATACGTGAATTTCCTATATAAAATATGTTATATGTACGTTTATTTTCATGTATCTTTTCAGTTTTTAAACCAAGGCATGGACCAAAATAAAATATGTATATAACTTCCGTTTTGTTTATTTTAGTTTTCTTTAGATTCGGCGAACTGAATCCACTGTGATCGAATTAATCCAAATAAATACTAAATGTCGGTCTGATTTGTGTATGTGTACCTATATGAAATATTTTATCTATTGTCTTAATCATTCKTACTGACGAAGGTATAACTATGTTCGGTGAAAATTACAACTAACTTCTTTTTTAAATATATTTATTTAAATRCAGAGCTAAGAAGCAATCGATAACTGAGATAATTCACTTCGGATTAAAAATATCTGGATTTGCGCATAGTTCGAGTGGAGTGATAAAATCATGGCTCATATACACAAATTAATAAATTTATAAATCATTACATAATATTTCCAATTTTTCTGGGACTTATGGCCAACACTTATTTGTTTTTCTTGCCTCCACCCCGTCGAATAGGAATTTGATCCGTTGCAATTGATCCTTTGTTGTGGTATTTATTTGAAATGCGATTTACAAAATATAAAGCGCAGATGCAGAAGAAAACACTGAAAATTTAATAATATAAATGTAACTCATATAATAATTAAGGTGGATACTTACCAAGTAGTAGCACAAACACGATGGACCACACCGGAGGCCACAGTCGCCAAAGTTAGGCAAGTAACAATTTCTGGTATAAATTTTGCTTGAAAATCATTACCAAATACAAGCATTTCCATATTCGATACAGCCGTTAGGGCAAAGACGAAAAGCCACGAACCAATGAAGCCCCCAACAATTGTATTCATTTGAGTAGCTATGATCCAAYTGGAGTAAAAGCGCATAGTTGCGAATATCATCAAACTCAAGATACAAGATATTACGGTCGAAACAAGATTACTGCTCCCACTCTTTGTTTCCGCACCTGATTTAGTGAGTATATGAATAAAATTAGCATCAGAAATAATGTAGTGTTCAAAGGGCTTACTCATTTTTGTAATTATATTCGCAACTTTAATATTTGTTGAGAACAGAACAGAAAACACCTACGTTGAAGTTTATCAAAAGCCGACACAAATTCCAATAAAAAATCAACAAACCACAGGGATGTATTCGCAGAGCAGAATGTGGACCGCATTACATATGTCCGACAGAGTGCGTATAATTAAATTTRGTTTCCTCTTGTGCAAGACATTACACGTTATACTTTAGAGTGATATTAAATAAATATTTAAATTCATTTAAAATGGGTGATACTTAAAGTTGCCCATYATTTCTATCTTCATGTGTAGTTATATTTACAAAATGAGATATGGTAAATAAATGAAATATTAATTATATAGCCGAGATGTTGAAATATAAAAAAACATACTTGGATATGCAATGTGGCAGCATTCAATTAATAYAGATAAACAGATGTTTGTTGCATAGAAAGCTCCACATGCATACCTGTTATAAGCTCCAATTTAATGGAAATATCAATTCCATTCGCTGTGCTTTACTACACATTCGTTGAAAATCCAAAATCCATAGATGTGAAGAAAATTTGTGTATTTCATATTCAAAATTAAGTTTGTAGAGTGTCATAGAAACTAATATATACAAAAATAAGCACAAGTCCCTCATTAAGTGAAATACCAATGAGGTWATAAAATTTTCAATGAATTGTGCTGATAGTTGTGTTGAAAAAGTGAAAATTTTTAGACAAATTTTATCAAGATATTTGCCATTTTCTGCTTCTTTCTGTACCCATTTTCCTCATATCGTGTATACTCCTCTCTTTGTGCAAATAATAAGAAGAAAAAGTTCTCCGTTGGAAAAGTCTTCCATTGCGAATTATAAAATTTGCGCTGGAATTTGTATTTGTGTGAAAAGGCAGCAGAAGTGAGCTAAATAAGAGATGTTGAGAAAATAAGAGTAAGATGAGATGATAATATAATTTCATACTTCCAAAACTTGAAATCTACTTAAAATTTGAAAAACACTCACAAAAGATAGTTTTAAAATGAAAAATATTTAATGTGTGTATAGGAAAATATTTAAACATTATTAGTGGAAGAAAAATAAATGAAACTGTGAGCATGTGCATATGTATACATACTAGGAAAGTGAAATTTTAGTATTTTAATATAAGTTTAAAAATCAAATTATTTAAACCAGTATAGTACAATTTAATATTGAGGAATTTTTTTTAAATGTGCAAACTATCAATATGATAATAAATATTGAGTAAGGGAATGTGTGAGTAAATCACTACGCGCGTAAATAGGATGGGGAATTGGATGTACGAGTACAATTCCTTCCGTTCTTTTCTCACTATGCCACCTATTGCTTTCTAATATACCAACAATAGAAACACCAAAGAARAAGAACGTCAAAACTTTTAGAAGGCAGCTAATAAACCAGAAAGAAAGCTTGCTACATGAATATCTAGTTCTCAGTCAATCAAGTTATCAAGAGCAAAAATAAGGCCAACAAACAAGACACCAAAGTGTATGATAAAATGTAGAGACTGAAAAATACTAAGTATAGCAAATTTAGCTACAAAAGAACGGAATAACACATGTACACACATATCTATAAACAAAATACATATAAGTATTGGAATTTGCATCTTTAGCAAATAGGTCCCAGACAGAAGAAAGGAATTATAATTTACAATTACATTAAACGGAAGTTAATTTTTTTTTWAWTWAAAAAAAGTCACTTCTGATTTATGCACAAAGAGAGGAATATGTTAAAACCCAACAGTTCACTAATTAAATAAATATGGACGTATGTCTTTTTAGCAAATTCGAACTACAGCAACAGTAATTGTGTATCAAAACACCATGATTTAATTCATTCATAACTGCATAACAGAAAAAAAATAAATGAATTTAACAAAACAATAGCCACGCATAATATACGAGAAGTGTTGCGAAAGGCGAACTTGAATTGACATTAAATGGGCGAAGTGCGCAACAATAGCACAAACGAACTAAAGGAACAACAACGACAGTATAATCAGCTGAAGAGGCATAAACATAAATGTGTAATTAGTTGAATTACACACACACGCACACAACAGAAAATTAAATAATTTTWAAAATTTTAATGTTTTCGGAAGGACTACCCTTTAAAGTGAATAAACAAAAAGTGCATAAGAAAACAAAAGCAACCTGTATAAGCGAAACATTTACCGCAACCAAAAAATAGTTAAAATCACGAAATTAATTTCAGAAAAATAGTATAACTTTGCAAATTTTGCAGTCCGAAAAACGTTGAATAAACATTGTTGATCGTGTATCCAACGGCGCACGCGCCCACTAATTTACACATTAACAGCTAAATATTATTGCGAGTGTGCGTGTGTGTGTTTATAAAGAAAGCTGTTCGAGCACACATTGGGTTTCCGTCTCAGCTATAGTCATCTGTACAATCGCATAATCGGTTACAAAAGTGAACAATCAAACACAAAATCATTACTACGTATTAATTTATGACGAAATATGCGTTATATTTAAAAAAAAGTTAACCAAATCATTTTGGAAGTGAACAAACCCGYCGTCTAGTCAAAGTGAGCAGAACCCCAAAATTTTCGTTTCGACATCAACACCGTTCCCTAATTAACATATAAACCTTCTGTAGTCCTGTTATCCTTACTGAAGCATTTGAATTAACATTATACACGCGATGTTTACTGGAAAATTACAACTAAAAGTTTGTGAGGCGATCGGTTTACGACCAACCGACTTTCAAAAGCGCCACAATTTGGCATTTGGAAAATTRGCAGATGATCAACCGATCGATCCTTATATTTCCATTGATGTTGATGATAATCATTTTGGTAAGAGTAATATAGTAATTTAGTTTTAGTGTATATATGGTAAATTAGTATTTATTTTATTCGTAAATTAGTATAAATTTTATAAATCGCAATTGAAATAAAAATAAAAATACAGAACCAAAAGGTAGTCGTTAAAAAGATGAAACAAGTGTTTTTTTTAACGTTTTGTTTGATTTTAACCTACAATTAAAATATCAATTTTATATTTTGAATTTTTTTTAGATCGCTCGACAACGCGGCCGAAAACATTTGATCCGATATGGAATGAACAATTCATACACGATGTGACTAATGCAAAGAACATTAACTTGACGGTATTTCACGATGCAGCACTTCCACCTGATGACTTTGTTGCCAATTGTCAAATACCTTTCGAAGATATTTTGCAAAATGAAGCAGGTGTGCTTGATCTATGGGTAAGCATTATTATGCGTGCAACTATCTTTTCTTATTTAGTTTAACTATATTTACATTACAGGTGAACTTAGAACCTCAGGGTAAACTACATATTATCATCGAATTGAAGAACCGAGTTGGTATGTATTTCGACAATTTATTTAAATTATTATTACTATTTTAATAGATTTAATAATAGATTCGAATAAAGATGTGGTTGAAGTGGTTCAGGCGGTCACCCAAAACAAGGAATTCAAAGAACGCGCTGGATTCAATCGTCGACGCGGTGCAATGAGGCGACGTGTTCATCAGGTTAGAAGCGATARAAGATTATGTTATTAGTCTTATTTATTTATAGTTGTTGTAAAGAAAGATTCACTAATTACGAAGTTGAAAATTTTATTATTAAGCTAAAATAAATTAACTTATTTATATATATTTATTTATTAGGTAAATGGGCATAAATTTATGGCAACTTTTCTGCGACAGCCGACTTTTTGTTCACATTGCCGCGAATTTATTTGGTAAGTGCATATGCTTAGCTTGATAAAAATTAAATCGAAATATTCAAAATCACACAATCATCCTGCTACAACTCACATACCTTTTTATTTGTATATTCATACCAGTGAATAACTGTATTGATCTTACTTTTCACATTTTGGTTATTGAAATATCATTGATAATTTAATTTGATCACTTTACCTTTAATATTTTTTATTATCCCCTTTTCACAACTATTTAGTATATTAGAATGTATTTTGGGTAAAATTAGGTAATACTTTTAATAATTACATTTATATATTAGTTGGTATTGTTATATTAAATGTTTTATGTTTTATTTGTTTGGTGAGAACATTTCTACATGCATTTGGGTGTAGTTTGGAGCAGACATAAAAATTTATGAGTTTCACTTCTAGTGACATATAATAAATATTTCATTCTTTGCTTTTTCATTTTTTCATCCGGGGAAAATGAACTGCTTAATTGATATATATATTTTTTTTTCAGTATTTACTTTCACTTCTGATTTAATACTGCGGGTTTTGCGTTTATGGCTCATTTTATCTATTTGATCAGTTTTTTTTTATTTTTGTACATCATCTCTTAATATTAATCTATATTCACATATATACAAGCTACGGAAATTTTTTGCCTTTGCAGGGGAATTGGTAAACAAGGCTATCAATGTCAAGGTATGTGTTCACACGCAGCAACAACAACAACTACATACCCGGTATTCGTACTCGTAATTGCATTTGTATTCGTTTTCCAAACTTTAAACAAAAATAACCAAAAGGAATCATTCGTTGAGTCTCGAAAAAATTCTCATAAAGAACTTATATCTTACATCGCCACACATAAATATGAACATACATACAAGCAATAAATACTTAAATTCACTTATAAACACATATTTACACACACAAAAAAATAGATAATTAAAAGTTGCCTTTGCATTTCTAGTTGATAACTAAATATGTACGTATGTATGTGTTTTCTACAGCTATTACACAAACATCTCATGCCCACATTCCTACATAAATACTACACATCCTTCTTTACATGCATAATATTTTAGGCCACTCTACTGAAATTGAATGTTGATGGTGTTGATTTTCATTCTGTCTCTTATACACATCTAGATGTGTATAAGAGACAGCTACTGAAATTGAATGTTGATGGTGTTGATTTTCATTGTTCGCTGCTCAAGCTAGCTATATAAAAATCCGTTGCTTTCTACTTATTATTATTTGTATATACATACATACGCACATAAATTGTAAATTTCACCTGTTATTGCTTTTGCATTTTTGCAACTCTTACTATTTTCCTGTTGACACATTTGTTTTTTGATCCRCCTGCTGAGTG